TTTTACTTGAGTACATTTTTGACTGTGTATTTGTACTTTTACTTAAGTACATTTTTTGAGTACTTTCTCCACCACTGATTTCTTCCCACCCCTTCTCTTTCCTACCTGCACCAATAATTTCACAGGTGAGTTAAAAACCGCTGACAGCAACGTTTTTCTTCTGGCCTTTTGTCCCCATAAACATCACCTCCAACCAGACTCACAGGTGTGAAGTGGTGGAGTATTGTGTCGCTACCAGACCTTACACCACACCTGTTTCACAGTCTCCCTGGATGTTTGCAGCAACAGTTCACATTATGTAGACACACAATGATCTGTTCAATGTGGTGATACTTGACTTCCATTAAAAAGGTCTCCATCTGTGCGCTGCATGTGGTGGGGGATTTTAAGAATGGCTCCTTTGTTGTCATGTTGTTCGTGTTTTTGTTTTTTACCAGCATGTGGAAAGATGGAGCCATGAGAGTAGGAGGCTAATGATGGGGAAAATAGAAGAGGAGAAACCCAGAGAACAGCACTGATGTGGTGGGTAAAAAGAGAGAGAGAGATAATAACTGTCCTCCATGCATAAAATAACTACTTTATGAGCCTGCTGGCCACACAGAGAGACAATGATCAGTCATTTTCTTTGTTTTCCAGCCTGACTTCCTTTTGATCTGCCCGCTTTCTTTCATCTATTTTATGCCATCTATAACAACTTCTTATCCTTGCTAGTTTCTTATCTATAAGCCGATCACATTGGATGCTCTTATCTGTGTTGTCCTGGTAATATCCGTTTGCCATCTCTTGTTTTTTTCAGCCTCTCGTCATCAAACAACGGTCAAATCAAAGGCACCAATCTTTGGCGAACATGGTGGTGGTGTGATGGTGTGGGAATGAGTGCAGACTTTCTTCATCTATAGATGAAGACATGTTTTATGTTTTGTATTAATGTATTAATGTATTTTTATGTTTTAGATCTGTTTTATGCACATATATGTGCATAAAACAGAAAACCTCTGGAGGCTGATTAAAGGACAACAGTACTCTCAGAGAGATTTTATTATCACATCATGTAGTCACTTGACAGACAACACAATATTGGCACTTTCTTCTAAGCAAAAACAACAATACAAAATAGATCAAGCTCTGATGAACATCTAGCAGTCTCTTATGTACACTGGAACCACCCTCCTGAAGGAGAACGTGTGGGAGAGATTGCGTCTGTCTATTTGATGGGCGAGTCCAGAATCTCCTCATACTCCTCCCTCTGGCGCCGCCCGGCGCCTCGAGAGGGCAGCAGCTTCATTGCCACCAGCCACCCGACGCTCAGCATGATCATCACGTTCCCCACAACCTCCGGCGCGGTGGGAGTCAGAGGGAGTAGGGCCAAATGTAGAAGCATGGCTACAGGCACCTCCAAGCTCTGCGAGGCGGAGACCAGAGCCGGGTGGAGTCGGGTGAGGGCATGCGTCATTCCCAGGAAGGCCGCTATAGAGCAGGCGACTAAGCCCAGGACGAAGCCCCATGCTGGTAAACTCATAGGCCAAGACCAGCCCACCTGGAGCAGGATCATAGTAGCTGGAGTGAGCAGGCAACCTGTCCAACTCACAGTGAACAAGGCGGTGCCAACTCCCACTCTGTCTTTCAGTGAGCGATACCCAACCAGCGCCAGGGCCATCCACAATCCCGCTAGTGCCGAGAGAGACCATCCGAAGGCGCCCCTCCAGAATGTGACCGGGTCGACCGGTGCGTCTTCATAGCTCTCATCTGCCGTGGGAAGCAACGCAAGACCCAATCCGCACAGCCCAGCGGCTAAAGTTATCCCATCAGCCAGTCCCAGCTTTTCCTCCAGAAGCAGGAAGGCAAGGGTTGCTGACAGAGCGGTGGTTGCCAGTCGCCAAGTTGTTGAGCCATTTTCGGAGGAGACGAAAGTTAAGGAGGAGTATGCACAGCAGAGGGAGAGTGAGTACGCGATGCCGTAACAGAGCAGACGTAGCCGATATCCCTCTGGCCCAAAGGGGTTCTCCGCCCTGTGCAGTGGGACCCCCACTGACGGAAGCTGGATGACGGACCTCACCAAGAGAAGAAACAGGGGTCCGAGGCTAAAGCGTTCAGAGGCCAGGCGGGTCAGGGTGATCAGGCAGCCGTGTGCAAGCGCCGCACCGAGCAGCCCCAGCCAGGTGAGGCGAGACGCAGACACAGACGCCTCACCGAAACTGGCCAGCTGTTCTCCAACCCCTTTCCCAGATCCCTTCACTGCTTTGGTTCCCAGCTCACTCCCCTCTCCTCCCCCAGTGGCCTGAAGTTTATGGGCCGCGTCCTTGTCTTTGGAGCCAAACAACGTCAAGGGCCACCTCTTGCTCTCCGTGAGCCGCTTCCTGTCGGATGTCTCCTCCAAGAATGAGCCAAAGTCCTCGAATGATGGGGCATCGTCATAGCCCTCGTCGCCTGGTTGGGGGAAATGGGTGTGTATTCCCGGCTGGGGGCTGTAGGGGGTCTGCGTGGCATACTTGGCTGTGACTGTGTGAGGGTGGATCTTCACTCTCTTCTTGGAGCCACTCAGAAGGTGAGCTGACTCCATTTTTAAAAAAAAATAAAATAAAACCTCAGAGATGACGTACACCTGCGGGAGAAGCAGAAACGTTTTAGTACCCCACACACTAACTTCTTTTTTTAATTATTTTTTTTAAACGTAGACCCCTGCAAATCCTCCCACTCCTTTCTTCGTCATGTTGCTTCTCCCGGGGATTCAGCTTGATATCTCATATATCTTTAATATCCGTGATAATAATAGCAGTGACTCACGTCTCCCAATGTTTCCCCGCAGTTTGTGTAAAGTAGGCTTTACACAAATCCCCAGCTTAACCACGTTTTCCGTGCAATCAGACACATTACGTCCACAGTAACTGAATTAAGCAGAACAGTAATTGTCTTATCAAGCCGATTTCTCTTCTTGTGTAACATAACCTTCAAGTGTCTGCTGGTAATGGGAGTTATATAAGCAAGGCTTTCGAGCCTCATTTGTCTTTTGATCTCTTTGTAATAACTTTTTCTCCCTCTTTTTTTTTTTTACCATTGATTTCTAAACATACTGATTCTAAAGTAAAAACACATAGACTCACTTAAATTATACAACCAGCGCTACAGAAAGCTCTATTTGTTCCCTGTCTAGTTTCGGTGTCTGTCTGATGCTGTGATGCCTTGCAGATGTCGGACTCACAACGGCCTCGCAAATATTATGTGGCACTTCTTCACTGCCGCGTTTCAGGCAGACAAACACTCAGAACCCTGTCAGGTCGATCGTGGCGTTTTAAACCGTTTCCTATAATAACGCAACATTTAATCCTACTGACAAAAAGTGGACTTCTAGTGTTTCGTTTTTTTGTGTTTTCTACGTGCAAAATACATCTTTAAAATAACACGGCTGTGTACCCACAATTTTCTTTAAATGAAGAAGTGGGAAAATATTGGGGGAAGCATGTAAAGGGTCGACTGTTAATAATTTAACAGACTCTGAGCTAGATCAGGCAGACAGAGAAAACATGTGGACGGATAGACTGAGCGCATCTTAACAATTAAATGTTTTAATTCTGCAAAACTGTACCACGCCTGTTTTCTCTCCACATAAAGCTGAAACAATTGCTTCTATATCTTAAGCTATTTTCATGCAATGCATAAAGAGACACGTTTTTTTTTTCTTTTCTTAAAGGCTGACATTAAATCAAACTAAACTTTTAAAGTTTTTCATGAGTTTGTAGGACAATATTATTTCTGTTTCATCGTTGCCTTGCAGCTAAAAGGTCCTGCTTTGTTCTCTCTGCGTGTAACTTGCATGTTCTCTGAGTGGATGCGTGGGTTTTCTCCAAGTACTTTGGCTTCCTCCCACAGTCCAAACACATACCTGTTACGTCAACTGATTGCTCTGAATTGTCCTCAGGTATGATGACGCCTGTGTAAGGTTGTCTCTGCAGAATGTACCCCACCTCTAGCTGAATGACCACCGGAGACATAGGTGAAATTGAGTTGAAATTCCTAGTATTTTTGTCGAGTTGTGTTTTGAATTGGTGTGTCTTGGGGTCGGACTTATTTAATAACTCCACAGCCTTCTCGTGGTCCATCTCTCCAGACAGAGAGGCTGTAAGTTGGGGATATTCTTATGATCACTGTCCAATTTGGAAGACCAAATTGTGCCCAAGTTTTAGCTTGCAGGCTAATATCTTTGGACACCGGTTCAGCATTTCCACAAAATGTCCTTTTCTCGTCTGTTACGGAAAATGTACTATAGTCTCTCCAGCAGCAGCCCATTCCGACAGCATGGTACTGCCTCTCCAAACTAGCTGAGATGGCGTTCTCTGCATTACCCTTGTCTCCTCTAAACACGATGATAGTAGTTACGGCCAAACACTTCCGTTTTATTTTCATCCGAACAAAAGAAATGTCTCCAAAAGTTCATGTCTGTCTTTCCTGTTTTTTGGGGGGGTTTTTTTTGCAGTCGATCGTAGCAACAACTTCTCCCTCTCTAAATGGCATTTCAGGTCTCGCAGGTACAGGACTCATTTCACTGTGGATAGTAAGCCACAGTGAAATGTACCAGCTACACTCAACATCCTCACAAGATTGTTCACTTTTCTTCTGGGGTTGATGTGAGCATTTTATTCTGAAACCACATTAATATTTGCCACCTTCTGACATCTGATTTATTTTTGCTACTCCCCCGCCCCCCTTAATGTTACAACAGAAAGTTTTGGTTTGGCTTTAAAATACATGCACCAGTTTACCGCAGTTTAACACAGACATCACAAGTTGATCAAAAGCTTAAAATTACATGAATGTGCCTCCTATATTACTTAAAAAGCGTAATAGTCGTAGTCTTTGCAAACTTCTGTGTTTGAAAGAAAGATGTATGTAAAATTCTCCATTTATTCTGTCAGTTAGAAAATAAATAGAAAGTTTAGTTTAGTTTATCCTTAGTTTTATGCAGTAAACAAACAAACAAACAAAAGATTATATGTCCTTTTATCCAGTGTATGTAAGTATCTGGTTCCAACTGTATTTCTTAAAAACGTGATCTGGGATCCCAACATGTCAGTGGTGCCCCAGCTGATAATTTCATGTATTCAGTCTGATCTCCGTCGGAGCGCATGGGGCGAGGCATCAATGTGAATTGTGCATAAAAGCTCACCTCTTTGACAGGTGTGGATTTTCGTATGGGAGCCGAGAGGTGCTGTGATCGGCATCCCAACAAAATCACCCTCACACCTGTTTTCACTGGTGGCTACATGAAACCTGATCGGCTGCAGCGCGAAAAACACACATTGTGCAGGAGGAGATCAGGATGTTCCTGTCTGACTATTCTCTGCTGGGTGATGCAGTCTGCCTCTGCAATGCCGCTGTTTTCTACTCACAAAGCTCGTTTTTGCACCTCACAAAACCACATAGTAGGTGAGGTTCTTGGAATCAGCAGCACACACCTTTTACAAACTGAGACAGCACGTACAATGTCTGTACATACCATTAAAAGCGACATCCTGTGGACTATTAATAGTCAAGTCAATTTATTTTTAGTGCTTCTATGAATAATTGAACATTCCAGTTGAATAATGCTTAGAATTAAGTATGACTGGAGTTAAATAAGGCTGATGAAAACATGTGTTTGTTTGTTTTTCCCTTCTTGCTTTGGCGGTGGTGCAAGATGTTTGCTCTCATCTTTACAATTTACTGCTGACCTCAAATAACAACTCATCGATTTCAGCTTCCTGATTTCGCTTTGCATTGACCGTCTGGCGCACGTTGTTATTCTACAGTGACAGCCCGCGTTGTAAACCATGACAAATCCTTGAATGGGGGTGGGGGAGTGAGGGGGGAGCGCGCCTCCGCATCACTCCGGGCGCGCTCCCTGATCGGTAAAGGGCAGCCAGAAACAATCAAGCAGTCCCGGTGACCTGCCGTGGGTTTATTACAGTAACCCAGATGCGCTGTGAGCGTTGCATAAAACACAACTGCGTAATTTAAAAAATAAATAAATAAAAAATAAATAAACGCTTCCCAGCTTTCACTCACCTGCTGTCGCGCGAACCAGGGATGAACTTCACAAACGGTCCACCTCAGTCATTTACTGAACATCTCCCAACGCTTCATCACCTCCTTTTGGCCATTTGTTCTTATGCTTCTCGCGCTTTTCTCCTCTCTCTCCTCTTTTTTTTTTCCGCAGCAGTGATTGTCCTCAGGGACAGAGTGGTGCGCTTCAGCACCTATGCTCACACCTCACTGCACTCCACAGAGAGAAAAAAATTGTGTTTTATGGGAACCTGCTGGCCGCTTTCGTCACTGTCTGAACACACACATATAGGCGCTCCTGGTCTGGGAGAGAGAGAGAGAGAGAGAGAGAGAGAGAGAGGGGGGGGAGAGAGATCTAATCAAAACCTCTGAGCATGCGTCATAGCAGTTGTACCTTGCGTATTTGTGCGTCACCCATTGTGTTTGAATTAAAGTGCCTTTCTTTCTTAAAATGTTAATTTATTATTATTATTATTATTATTATTTGCTGGGAACAAAATCGGATTTGAAAATACAGAGCCTTGTAAAAGTATTGGGATTAACTAAAGTGGTAAGACTTTACATGAGGGGATGTGCATAAGACTGACATGAACACGAAATAACACCTTCATGAATGTTTTTGGCTGTTGTTATGAAGTGTATTTTGGTAAACAATGCAACTCTTAATGCATTAAAAGTTACATTAAAAGTGTCAGCTTAGCATTTTTTGGGAAATAATTACATTTTTATGCAAAGTTGCATTAAAATCTACATTAAAAGTCAATTTAAAGAGTCAACTTTGCATTAAAGGATACTTTATGACAACAGTAATAAACATTCACGAAGGCCTTTTCGTGTTCATTACAGGTGTTATGTCATGTTTACGACAGTGTCATGTCGGTCTTATGCACACCCCTTCGAATAAAGTGTTGCCAACATTTTTCATGAGAGAGCTGATAAGTGGAAGGAAAATCTTAGATCGTTTATTAGAAAGGTTTTTCCACATCTGAAAAGTCTGACGTGTATGTGGTTTAAAATCTCTTTTAATCTGATGGGTTATAAAACAATATCCCGATATTTGAACATTGGGATATTGAGCAGAAAGCTGTTCAATCCACCATCCACAAAGGAAGAGCCTTCCTCGACTTTAGGCCTACCGAGGCTTAATGTCGGATTGATGGAGTAAACAAACAATCGGGACGATGTTCAGAGCTGACTGTGGCTCATTGGTAAACATAGTAAAAATGCATTTTACTTGTTAGCGCCTTTCAAGACTCTGAAGGGCACTTTACAAGAAAGCAAGCAATACAAGAATACCCTAAAAATAAAAACGGAGGTAGAAGAAAAAACGAACATCCAAAAAGATTGCAATGGAACGGACAAATTGAGGAAGAGCTGCAGGTAGAGACAGTCTTGTAATTAGAGAGTTATGGATTTGCTTCAAGCTTCCTAACCCAACACATACTGATATACTCTTGGGCAAAGACACTCGACCCCAAATATCGATTGGCGTATTGACATATGAATAAATGCACATTTCTGGGTGCTGAGTGACAGGCTAATCTGTTGAAGCACTTTGAAGGGTGGGACTACAAGTCAGTTGAGTCCAGTTACCATTTGCAATGATGTTGTTGGGATCAAAACATATTTATAACCCAGAGAGGACCAGTCAAAGGCCACACCAAAGTCCAGTTCGGGGCGAGACTAGAAAAAGTAACATGTATGATCCGTTGCCCAAAAAGCAAAAGTTTCTCATTGTTTCAATCTTAGTTTAACAAAATCCCTCTACAATGATGTTTATTGAAGCTTTTGTATTTATTTTACGAATCGTTCGTTTCCATCTAAATGGTTTTAAATCACATGTAAGGACACTGCTGCTAAGAATAAGAACATGTTTCGGTCTAATCAAGAATTTAGTTGCTAAAGAGATTCATCATGTTTGCTCACTAATGTTCTCTAACCTCTGAGACTTAACAGAACGGCTGGATTTAGACTGAGAGACTGAGATTCATCAACACTTCGGAGTGCACGTCTTGTCTGTTCGTTCAAAGTACTATTTGAAAATAGCAACTTCTAAACAAGTAGCCAACATTTCTCTTTTTAAGATTTTTTTTTTTCATTTTGACGTAATATTTCAATTATTTTCCATTAGCTGAATGTGGAAAATTATCATAATGAACAGAAATAAAGGCTTTCCATCCATGCAAAATTAATCTATATAATGTACTTCACTTAAGCCGTTTTCGCACTGCAAGGAACGGAATGGAACCGTTTCAAAGTAGGGCCGACCGTGTTTGCATTAGAACTTCCGACCGGTTCCACCCGGCACCTCAGAACCACAAGAGCTGTGGTTCCAATCGGGCTGGCCAAGCGGTTCTGCTTAGAATCAGCAGCTGATTGGCCGCTGGTTGTTATGGAGTCAGACGTTGATTTTCCATTGACAGCTGGCTCTCACTAAACTGTATTTTATTTTGATGAGCAGCAAAATTAAATCCATGTCATCCATTGTTGAGTTGTTGACGTCGTAGTAGTAACTGTTCTTCTTCATTATATTGGCAGTTGGCAAACAACCAACTCAAACCCCAAACTGGTGAAGGTTGTGAACCACATTGTTTAGTTTCAAAAATAATGACGTCCGATACCGCTTCGATGGCGCCCTCACTGTATATGCAAACACAACAGGGCTGCAGTACAGGTGGAACCGTTCCGTTCCGTACCGTTCCGTTCCTTGCAGTGCGAAAACGGCTTAATTTACGGTAAAATACCATAAACAGGTGTGGTTGCCAAAATTTTTACCGTATTTATAGGTATAAATACAATAAAATTCAGAAAGGTTTTGAATTAACCTGTGGCCATATAAATGTGGTGTAGATAAATTACAAATCTATACCGTATTTACAGGTATAAATACAGTAAAATTCTGGCAAGGCAGAATTTTATATAAATACGGTAAAACTCTGGGAGCCAAAGGTGCTGGTATTTTACCTTAAATTAGGTACTTTTTTTTTTACTACAGTGTAGTAAAAAAAACTGCATGTAAATATATGATTTCAAATGTATGTTGGAGTAAGAAAATGTGAGTTTTTTTATGTTAAAATTATTATTTCACTTAATTTTACAAGCATGTTAAAAGCATAGAATACAGAAATGTGAATTCCTAACGTACATGCTGGTATTTTGGGCTTCCTCGACACCGTAATGTTTTTGTTTTGCACGTGCATACGCTTGTTGAAAAGTCAGATTATGCTGGAAGCAACACAGTGTTATGACCGAGTTTTACCGTTTTATTTTTGTTTTTCATTAAATGTCTCTTTTTAAAGAATATAATGTGTTCTTTCTCGCATTTCAAACACCTGCTGCCAGACCAACAAACAAAAAGGACCGGAGTACAGCTGCAGTTCGTCTGGTTCATGCTAACGCTCTCACCGTCACAAAGTAAGCACGCAAATCAAACACATTACTTAAACCCGCCACCTTCGAGCAATGGCGTCTCCATAATCTAAATATCAATAAGTGAAAATGGGACCGTGTGCTGCGCTTCTGCTCACACGCTGGATTTGATTTAAACATTGACTTTTCGAGAACTCGCTCTCCTGACAACTGGAGGCTTCTCGCGAAAAACAGCGAGATGGTTCGGCCTTACAGCCAACCTGGCTGCAGTCTGCAAAGGTTAATGCAGCTGAAGATGAAGCAGGGCGCAAAAGATTTATAGCAACAAAATGTCAAAGCAATTACTGCCATAGAGTAGACAAATGGGACTCCCCGGGATTGGATACTGTTGAATGGTGTTGGATCAAGGTGGATAAGAAGACGGGAAGGGAACTGAGCTTCGACAAAATCCTTTGTCCCTCTGTTAAGAAATTCAGTTAGTGTTTCATTAAGTCGTATCCAGTACCCATGCTGCAGTAGAGCTGTGCAAAAATGAGTATAATTGTGAAGTGAAAGAAAAATGTGATATAGTTCAATAATTTTGCAACGAAAAACTCAAAAAGTTTTTGTAGTCTCTTTTAACGCGATACAGGCAAATTACATTCAACGCAACACAACCTGGAAATGTACATAATTGGTGTACAGACCCAATTAATGAATTAAAATATGATCAAAAAGTCAATTTATTTCAGAACTAGATCACTTCGGGATAGCAAAATCATTTTCTATCTGCTGCAGCCAAAATAAAAGGAGGTCTAAAGATAACACGCACTAAAGTTACTATGCTTATAAATACTTCAGGAAAGCCTAGATAAGGTTCAACGCTTTTCACAGGTTTATTCGAAACATTTGAGTAAAATGAAAGTAATGCTGTGGATGTTTAAAGCTGCACCAGAAACTCTCGACTTCCTCATGTGACATCATTGAAAAACATCAAAAGACATTGTGGACTTCCTCATGTCTGGTTCTTCTTTAGATACAAGTGCCAGACAATTGTAGATGGTCCACTAGCTCTGGTTAATTATGCGCTAGTTTAAACACCTGTCTCCAGTCAGAAAGTGTTAGAATTTAATATGGAAGTAAAGCAGCCGACAAACCTTGACTCAGTTCCATCAGTTCAGTCAGGAGGAAAACTCCTGCAAACTACTGTGAGTATACTCATAACCTTTAACCAAACTCATTCGGTATACTGTATTTTATGAAATAAAAACGTTTTTGATTCGCCTTAATGATCAGAAACTTGATCAAACTGATAGACAGACATAAAAAAAAAATGCTTGTGTCTTTTTACACATAGGGTACCATGTGAACACTGAGTGAAGGATTTCCTAATGCGCTTTCCAAAGCGTCTATTTCCTCTATATCAATAATGAACAGCGCTTTGAAAAGCAACACTGTTAGAGCCGCGAATGTGCGCCATTTATTTATTCAACACAGCCAGGCCCGTGTTTGACGTCAATTACCCCAGAAATACAACCCAAGCTGCATGTTTGGCCGAGTTCTGCTTGGGCAAATGGATGAGGGAGAGAAAGTTCATTTCCTGCCGTTGCTGTTTTGTGCAGTTCTGTAATGGTCCTTGTCCCTGGAGCTGTTTCTGCAGTTTTCTTTCTCCCTGCTACATCTGGTTTAGGCATTAGGCCGAGGATGAGGAGGGATATCAGGTGTTTCCATGGTTACAGCGGATGAGAGCGCTTTATTCAGTGGTGGTGGTAGGGGGGGGGGTGCTGTTTAAATCCTATCGACTGCTCTGCAGGTCTTGGGATCAAGGTTAGTCACATTTGAACTGAAAGAAGCCACTTCTGATGAGGAGTTATTGGCTGGACGTGATGAAGATATGCCGGGAGGAAGTGGAAAGCAGGTGAAAGCAGAGAAGTGGCGGCAAAATGAAGATGGACGGCGGGCGAGAGAGTCGTAGAATTTCTGTT